ATACTGCAATAAAACCCCAGTTACCTCGTCCCCAGCCCACCAGCCCTCGATCCGCCGCCCTGCTCACTCCGACCCTCTGCGCTCCGGCGGCGTTTGCCGCCGAACGCGCCCGCGCTGCACCCCGGCAGCGGCGGCACTTCAGCCTTCTGCTACCGTGTGGCATGTCATGATGTTTAATTAATATCAAACACTTTGAAGTCCCCACTGTTACTTATTCATGCCCGCATTCCCCGCAGACCCTCCTGTTTGATGTCCATGTTGTGGGGGTTATTTAGATGCAACCCTCTTTGCGTGAAATTTAAGCAGAGAGGAGAGGTTGACTCTAGGGTGCTGCACGAGAAGTTGCCCTTCCCGGGCATGAGATCAGCTCAGCTGCACGTTCAGAATATGAACGCTGAATATGCGCTGGCTACTCGTGTAGGTGCTCACAGCGTGTCTGCGGTGTAAATCCAGAGAACAAGCGGTATCTCGGACGCAGCCGTTTTCCACCACGGGCCATCACATCTGGGTGTTTGTCCCTCTGTGGTACCCGACCAGCAGAGTGTCCTCCTTGTGTCCCAGGATGTGGAAATTAATTTAAGTTTGCTGAATTTGGGCACCGTGGGTTGAACAATAAAATCAATGCAAGAAACCTCTGTCTCAAACATGCGGGAAAACTTTCCCTGCCGCCCAGGTATTCTCACAGAGCAACAACCACATGTGAGATTGTCCTTTAATGCTTTCTTGTTATCTTTCAGCAATTATCTTTTTTTTCCATTCCAGATGAGTTTAGAAAATGATGATAAGAGAGCACGCACGCGATCGAAGTCTATCAGAGGTGAGCGGCTGGTTATCCCGCAGCATGGGAATGTGTAGACCTGAGCTCCCTGCACTTCGCTTCTGCCAAACAGGCTTTGATTTTTCAGGTCCAGGCTTAACTCTTTAAGTTATGCTTGCCACTCCCCTTCCAACCCCACTGAGATTTGTCTACAACCCTGGAAATCTCCCAACCACAAACCTTTACAGGTCCTTGTAGTATTTAACCCTCATCCCCTACACACAGGGGAAGAAAAAAAAAGCCAAAAAAAAAAAAAAGGGCCTTGCTTTGCACGCTCTCGCCCCGGGAGAAGGCGAGGTGCTCTGATACGGAGCATGGGGTGTCACCTCGGGTGGCCCCGTGGCCACACGTGACCGTTACAGACCAGCCTCTCCGTTTTGGTTCCTTTTTGTGGCCGTGGATTTGACAGATTGCAAAGGTGGCTGGAAGCAAGGGATGAACGGGGCTGGCTGAAAGAGTGCGATGGATGCAAAGACTGCAGCTTCACCCATGCAGCCGTGCCGGGCCACCTTCCTCTGCCCCGACCCGCCTTCCTCCTTGCTCTTCTCAGCATCCCCATCTTCTTAACAACAAAACAAAACCCAGATGCTGCCAGTTGCGCTGAATGGAGCTTGGATATTTGGGTTTCAAGGCTTTGTTGCACGTACATAAAGGTGCTCGCTTAGGTTGCTGATGAAAGCGCCCTGATTCTATTTATTTTCTCGCACCCTGCCTTCCCCACACTTGAATATGGGTTTCTTGATGTGAAAAGGTAATTTATTGCGTACACCCTGGGACTTGCCGCTGCCTCCAGTTTGTTGAAGCTTATGAGTCATCCCACTGGGAGCTGGATCCCAGGAAACCCAATTAGCTCAAACAAATTGAGCAAACGTGCTATGGTTTTTAGCCTGGGCAAATTCATACTTACGTTGTGCTGTTTTTTTCTCCTGATTATTTGGATTCCTGGCTGGATGTAAGGTTTTAGCAGCGATGCGATGTTGTCGTACATTGTTATTGTAAGCAGTGGGATGTCCTCTTATTCACAAGTAGGAAATAATCCCTAAAAACCCTATAAACTATTGTTTACCCTAAAAGCCAAGCAGCACATCCTCTACCATGTGTCTGAGCGTAGGCAGGGGCTCCCACATCAGTCCGAGGTGACAAAGGGAGGAGAAAGATGTGCCTGTCGATAGGTAGAGGGTAAATGTGGCTGCTGCAACGGAACAGCAGTGAACTGTGCAAAAAGTAACTGAGGAGCATATTTTAAAGGCAAACATAGAGAAGAAGGCATGAGAAAACTCATTCTTTACTTAAAAGTGTTTGAGTCTTATGTACGTATATCAGTATAGCTCCACCGGCTTTAAAGTTGTCATGTATTTAGAGAGAGAGGTAGCCCCTGGTGCTGCAAGCACGCACTCAGGGGCTGGAAATTAAGCACAGCCACGAGGATTTACAAGGCAGGATTATGATTTACTACAGGCTGGCGTGCAGTAAATGATGGCAGGATAGATTTGCCCTTTCTTTCCCAAAGGGGATGCCCGAGGAGGCAATAGAAACCCAGCTGCAGGCAGGAGAGGGTCCCCAGAGAAGGGGGATATCTTGGGGGGGGGTGAGCACCCCTGTTGTGTTTTTGACCTTGTGTTTGTTTCCATTGCTGCATCCTGTCCCTTCGCCCAAGTGCCCACGGAGCTCATCGGCCAGGAGGTGAGGTAAGGACCCTGCTCCTCCTCGGCGGTGGGAGGGAGGGGAGGCCCCGTGCTGGGACTGGCTCGGGTGAAGCCCCGCAGCTCCTCACAGGCTTGGGAACCTGGGTGAGGGCAGCAAACCCATGGGACTAATGGTTGGAGGTTTTGCTTGGGGGGTTTGTTGGTGGGCACCTTGTGTCCAAGTCTTCAGGGCACCACCTGACAACACACATCAGAGGAACCACAGGAGTTAAAGGGATGAATGCACAAGCTCTGGATGGGTCATGTTAGACTGAAAACCTTCCAGCCATACCCTATCCTACCCCAGATCTAAACGCCAGCAAACCCTGATGCCCATGCTTTGTGTTGCAGGATCATTAGGGACAACATCCTACGAACCAGAGTTTCTTTTCCACATATTTTGCATCCTCTTGTTGCCCCTCAACAATGTTGTGTCCCATCACTTGTGCCAGATGCTCCTCCTTTGGCCCTACGTCCCCCGTTGAGTCACCGAGGTCCTGTTCACTCATTTAGCAGCGCTGGCACGTGAACAGCAGCAGCCAAAAGAGCCGGAGCGAGCCTCTGCAGCCCTGCAGAGCTTCTCATTATAAATAACAGCCTCCCCCATCTCTGAGCTCCCTTTAAACCTTGCACAAGGGCTTACGCAAGAGGTAGGAGTCTTTAACCTGGACAGGCGCTAATAGCAGGGGCTGCCTTTCCTCGCAGCTCCGTTAGAAAGCTGCGTGTGTCCAAGAGTAATTGGACCTTAACCAACCCAATTTCAGAGCATTTCTGCTCCTCCGCGCTCCTATTACTCCAGAGAGGCGGGAGGAGCGAGCGGCGGGCACGCCACTTCTCCAACTTTTATTGCTGAACACTTGAGTGGAGGTGGTAATTGGAGCAGGTGACATATATAAGGGGCAGGACAGAGTGCTCCACAAAGCCATCTCTGCAGCTGTCACCTAATTGCCTGATTAACTGGACGATTAATCGACTAATTGGAAGCAGGGCATCGTCTGCATAACAATAAGAGGCCCCTTTTGTCAAGCGTATGAAGGCTGCGGAGAGGGGGAGAGCAGGTCGGTGCGGTGGCTCTTGCGGGGAAGGAGAGCAGCTTTAATAGACCTCGAAGCCCCTTTCCCCTTTTGGGACTCCTGCCAAAATACGAGGCCTCCCCGGCGGACAGCAGGGTCAGGAAAGCCTGTCCCGGAGTGTGCCGAGCATCGCCGTGGCCCTGGTGCTTCTTAAAGGGAATAAATCGACACACGGAAGCCAGAGGCATCCCAAATCACCACCTGCTTTGGAACACCTCGATGCCGAACCACTTGGCACCTTCCTACTTACTTTTTAGTGCAGGTTTCATTTCACCACATCAAAAAAATGGGGTGGTGGGGGGAATCAGCTTTAGTTGATGCAGAAAAGCTTATAAAAGCCTGTAGTATCTTCATCAGAGCTGCTCCCGTTTCCCACAGAATCAGGCCTTTTTCGGGCAAGTCACTGGTATCGTAAACACCGCTCTGTCTTTCGACGTGCAGTCCCTTAAAGTGCACCTGGGGCTGCTCAGTACCGAGCAGCCTCGGTCGTGACTGAGGGCAATTAAAATTAAACAGACTTTCAGATCATCAGCAGAGGGAGCAGCGAAGGGGGAAGGCGCTCTCTCCCAATTCCGCACGTTAGTGGGATGAGATCTTTTTATACATGACCTCGAGCGTTTTGCTGGGAAGGGATGCCTTGCTGGCGGGCAAGACCGCAGGCACGGCGGGGCTCAGGCTGTGTGTGCATGCCGAAAAAGCTGGCAGCCACCCCCCAAGCGATGGCGTTGCAGGATGCTCAGCATCTTGGGTTGAAACTGGGCCACGAGCAAAGGGGACAGCAGGAAGGGGGGACTTCATCTCGGAGGGGCCAGGAGGTGCAGCTCACACCCACGCTTCATCTAGAAAGCCGTGTCCCCTCAGGGGAGGTGCTGCCATCAGTTGTTCTCTTAGCATTAGTTTTGCTAAGCTAAAGCAAGCCGGTCTCCCTGTAAGAAGGATTCCTACGCTCCCGACAGTTCAGCAGCCCTTCCTGTCCCGGTTTCGGGTTGAATTATATTCTTTGAACACAGCGATCTGACTTGTGCACGGTGTTCTGGGGCGTTGAGCCATTAATAACCCGCCGGTGCACCCAGAGCTGCTGCATCCATTAGCGCACTCAGACCCTCCCTAACCTTAGCTTTCTGCACGGGCTGAGCTCTCTGCTGAGAGCAGAAATTCTGAGTCCCCGAAGCCTGACTTGGCACTTGGTACTATTTAAGGTTGTCCCGTGTCTTTTACTCCAAGAACAATAGGCTGGCCAGATCCCCTCTGGGCTGGCGATGCCTTCTCCCTTTGCACTGTCATCAAGAGATTTCATTAGCGCTTCCAACTTCCCGGGCCGAGGGTGATACGGTGCTAAATGAGGTTGTTAATCCTACACGACTCCAGAATTCCTCAGATGTCAGGCAAGTCACTTGGGCATCCTATAATCAATGCCATAATCTGGTTTTGCCAGAAAATGTTTGCTTTAATGCTTCTTATCTGAAGCCCTTGTAGCTCCTGGAGCTGGGACTAATCACCCCTGCAGGGGAGGCATGCAGCCCCGCACCGAGGGACGCGGCAAGCTTTGCCCATGGCAAAGGCAGAAGCGGCTGCGAGCGCTGCCCAGAGCTCCCTGGAAATCTTTAACTCATCCTGCTCTAACTCCTGCTCCGCAGCAGAGATGTGGGAGATCTGGCCACGTAAATCCCATCCATCTCCCGAAAAGTGAGGCTCCGAGGTGCTTTTGATCCTGGTGATCTCCACCCAAAGCGCTCTGGTTAAAACCTCTTCGATTCACTCCCAGTCTGCTCGTTCCAAAAAGTCACCCACTTCTTAGTGCAAGGAACCCCAGGTCCCTAATAAGCCATCAAATAAGTGCGAAGCCCGTGTCTTCCTCCTGCACCAGCAAAAAAGAAAACTGAAGGGTGGTAGTGGGGAGGCAGAGTGCAGTAGTTGTCTGCTTTTTAAAAGCTTGCTCTTACACATGCAAATCTTTAATTAAACATACTCATAAAACTATAATGAACCGTTCATCTAATTAAATGGGGTGAGTCATTTCATTAATTTTTAGCAAACTGCAAGGCTGCTCTCCTGCCCTCCTCACTTGGAATTCAAAGGGACAAGCTGCACTATCCGAGGGAAATTATCTTCCCTTTGGTGGTTATTTTGTTCCTCGTGCACAGGACCCGTTTAACCGACCGTAGTCTATATACTTCTAATTAAAAATGAATTCTCCGAGTTTTATTGCTGTTCTTGATGGTTGCTTGTTTCCCTCTCAAGCTGTCCAACCCCAGGCTGTAACGGCTCAGGACACATCCGTGGAAAGTATGCAAGACACAGAAGGTGAGGCTGGCTCGGAGGCAGTGGGGATGGAAGGATGCCAGCAAAAACCCCAAAAACAAATGTTCACTGGAGAGAGGCTGATTCAGAGCAGCAACCCACCTCACCTGCCCCAAATTCTCCTACCGAAGAGCCAATTTTCTGTCTCTCAGAAAATTCTGTCTTTTCAGTTCTTGAGGGATCCTGGGGGATCTGCTTCACCGGGCTGGCAGTAGCCTTCCCGCAGATCCCAAACCACCTGGCTCAGGTGCCTGGGGTTAAAGGGAGCTGTGGGCAGGCAGAGATTTTGGTCTGCTCGATGCCTCTATGGACAGGGAGGGGACACGAGAGCACGCTGGCTGCCTTCGAGGCCATGCCAGCCTCACTGATGGTTTTCATCACCCTGTAGGGATGAAATCAGAGCAGTTGGTGGACGTGTCCCAGGGGCTGGTTCTGCGGCCCCTGCCTGGTTTCATGGTGGCACTTGGTGGCCATCACCAACAGTGGTGCTGGGAGCTGTTGGTCCTGCCTCTCCCTGGACAACAACCGCCCATGGTCCAGACTGCTGGAGTGAGACCAGCATCCTTGCGCCGACTTCTGAGTAAAGTTGACGTAGTTGCAAAAAGCCAAGGTCTGAGAGCAGATCTCCTGGCCGTGAAGGGTTAAACCAGCTGAAAATCTGGGCTGCTGGGGGATTTTTTTTTTTTTTTTGGTATTTGTGTGTTTGTCCCACTTGCCTTTGCCTAAGCGGTTCGGATGCCGTAGCCATGCCTTTCTCACTCGGCAATGTTCCTCTCTGCTCCTTGATCTCATCTGCAGTTTACAGAGCTGCCCGCTAGCAAAGAAGAGGAAACTTCAGGATGCGGAGGCTGAGCATCTGGTGTCGAAGAGAAAATCCCATCCGCTCAAGCTGGCCTTGGATGAAGGCTACAATGTCGACAGCGACGGCAGCGAGGAGGCTGAGGCGAAGGAGGAGTCCGGCTCCGACGAGTCGGAGGGGACGCTGGAGGAGGACGAGGCGGAGGCGGTGGAGCAGGAGGAGACCCGCAGCCCCCAGCCAGCGGAAGGTGCTTTATCATTATTGATTGCAGAGCTGTGTTCTGCAGATGAATAAAGGGCAGGGAGTGTTAATAACCAGGAGTTATAGCTCCTCTGAATTATGTACAGGATGGGTCCTTCAATTATTATGTTTGGTGCAAGGACAATAGCAAAGCTCTGGTTAAGCTGAGGGAGTACGCACAGGTTGTATCTGGCGTCTTAAAAATGAGAGGCTTTCCGTCAGGGATGCTCCCCGGGGAAAAGACCCATGGAAAGCACAGTGAGCTTGTCGCACGGCTCAGACGGCGGCGGGGAAGGCAGCCGGGGTCCCCGAGGGGCTCGTCTGCCTGCGCCGGTGCAGGAGCCGTCCCCATGGCCGGATCCGGCTGCCCTCCAAGAGCAGCGACAGGCAAACGAGATGGGTGTCCAGCCGGGGTCCTGGCACTGTGTCAGACCCGGTTGGGAGCCCCTGGCCTGGGGAGCACTGGGAGCGAGGGGGCCAGATGGCTGCTGCTGGTGGGGGCCGGGAAGCCGCGTGCATCTGAGCCCCGCGAAAGCTTCCGATGGAAATCCCCTTCCTACCTGCCGTTCCCAAATGCAATAAATTAGGCTGCTCTAGAGGTATAACAGCCAGGCTCTGGTTTCACTTAAACTTAAGTAAGACAGAGATGTTTACGAGCTTATTCAATTACTTTCTTTTCCTCCTTCCCCCCCCCCTTTTTTTCCTTTTCCTCTTTTTCCTTTTCCTCTTTTTCCTTTTTCTTCTTTTTCTTTCTTTTTTCTTTTCTTTTCTTTCTTTTCCTTCTTTTTTCTTTTCTTTCTTTTCCTCCTTCCCCCGCCCTCAGAGAGAAGCCCAGCAAAATCAACCCATTATGGACAAAACACGGCAACAAGTACGTCTGGGCCCAGCAAGGCCAACTATAGCAGCTATCAAGAAATAATCGCCAACTCTCTCCTAAACCTAGGCCAAATAGCGGAGGAAACCCTCGCCATCGAAGGGCAGCTGCCTGAAGCTGAGCTGCAGGTCTCCAAGCCGGCGTCCAACGTTGTGCACCTGGTCCACGAGGACGCGGGAGAAGAGTTAGTGGAGGAGGAGTGTGACAAGGAGATCATCATCCAGACGGAGGATGCGGAGGAGGTCATCGAGGTCACCAGCGAACGCAGCAGCGAGTTGTGCCCAGAGCACCGGGATGATGCGAACTGCGAGGAGTCCTGCAAACTGCAAAAGGCTGAAGCAGAAGAGGAGGATGAGGAGGATGAGGAGGAGGATGAAGATGAGGAGGAGGAGGAGGAAGAAGAGGAGGAGGAAGAGGAAGAAGAAGAGGAGGAGGAAGAGGAGGAGGAGATGGCTCCTGAAGTGATCTGCGAAGAAGCTCCTCACACTTCTCAGGATACCCAGAAAAGCCACTGTGAAGGGCAGTTCAGCCCAAAGCCCGAGTACTCGGTCATCGTGGAGGTCCGGTCAGATGACGACAAAGACGACGACGCCCGCTCCCAGAAATCAGCGGTGACCGACGAGTCAGAGATGTACGACATGATGACGAGGGGGAACCTGGGGCTGCTGGAACAAGCCATCGCGCTGAAAGCTGAGCAGGTGAAAATTGTGCGGGAGCCCAGCCGGCTGCCAGGAGAGCATGTAAAGCACTTCCAGGTGGACGAGAAACAGAGCAAACCGCTGGACAGCATCCGAAAGAGCTACTACGGCAAAGGTACGGGGACGAGCCTTCGCGCGTCTCGTTCCTTCCCGTCCCCAGTGAAAGAGCTGAATTTGCTCAGCACCCCACGAAAACTAGGCTGCTGGGGGATGTCACAGCCCACAGAGGGAATTTAGCCACAAATCCTCAATGCCCAGAGGGATGGGGACATCCTAGAGGTCGACAGTGAATGCACAAATTGATGGTGTCCTCTACGTCTCAGCAGGGGAATTGCCTGGCTAAGTTGATTGTTGGCCTTGAAAATCTCGGCCTGGGCAGTAGGGCTGGTTTAAAATCCAAGTGGGTTTTAGAGTAGTGGTAGGAGTCTGGCCACGGCAAGATGAGGGACTTGGGGATGCAGAGTCCCCCAGCCGCTGAGCCGGGCTGCCTGAGCTCTGAGCAGCTCTGTGCTCCCGGCTGGGTTAGCTCCTCAGATTGCTTTGCTGATTTTAATTTTTGAAACTCCCAGTGTTACAATACCTCCTTCAGGAAAACAACCTCCCAACCCAAAGGTTTCTCCCCATTCGACTGGAAAAGTGGTGGGAAGCACCTTCGGCAATTTTTCTCTCCTTTCCACCTCTTCCCCTCCAAATCTGCTAACCCGCTTCCCTCCGCCCTTTCCCCACAATCCCTAGATCCCTCAAGACCCGAGAAGCGAGAAATCAAATGTCCGACTCCTGGCTGCGATGGGACTGGCCACGTCACGGGACTCTACCCTCACCACCGCAGCCTCTCTGGTTGTCCGCACAAAGACAGGATCCCTCCCGAGAGTGAGTACATGGTGGGAAAACAAGGCTTGCTTAAACTGGTCTGATGCCTTATTTCCTAGGGGGATTTTCACACCTGATGGGTAGAGCCGATGGGCACTCCAAATAGTCCCAAATGATGTGAATTTTATGACCAGCTCCCTAGCACAAGCCTGATGTTAATCCTTGGCGTACAACGGAGTTTCTGGCATGGGATGGTGTTTTCCCAACTTCTTCTGGGATGCTTTTATCCACCAAAGTGTTATCGTTCTCCTTGGGAAACACTACGGAGATTAGTAGGAAGTCCTACCCTTCTTAAAGATTTTTAGCACCATCCTGTGGAGAATGAGGTCCCTTCTCTGAAAATCAAAGAGGTGCTTTAAAAATGATGCCCACCTCCAGAGGTGTGTTAAGCCGTTCCCATCTTTACGTTGAATGTCACATGCTTTTCTCCATTATTTGGGATATCATATTGAGAAGAAGGGGAAACTCTTCTTTCCTGCTGTCCAAACGTGCTGAAGGTGTTGCCATACAGCAAAGGAGAGGAGTTGTTTGGGATGTGCAGGACAGCTGGGTCTCCTCCTACACTCTCATCACTATTCACTATCAAGGTGCTATATCGAGATTCATCTATCCCACAGAAAACATTTATCATCAGCATAACAGATTTTTATATATATACATAGAGAGATATTTTATTTCTACCTCCCTACCAGCATCCTAAATAGCCTTCCCTGCGCATATGCATAAAAGTCAATGTTGTATGTTTATGATAATGGCATAACAGACAAAAAAAAACCCCAAAAACCAGGACCCCTTCCTTATCGGTAATTTCAAAGGTTGCAGACCTGCCATAAACACAGAACTGCAGGAAACATGGGGAAAGTACAGCTGTCTTCACACAAGCTTGAATGCAAGAAAAAAAAATAAATAAGTAACACAAACTGTGTGCTTTAGAAAAGCTTGCAAATCAAATTATTTTCTTTACTTTTAAGGTCAGCGCTGCAGGAAGCAATAATCCTGCAGATTAAAATTTAAAAAAACCCAAATCAAACAAAGGCTAGTCCTAAGGATAAAAGCAGAGATGCTACTTCAATCACTTAAAACTACCTGAAATTCGGAGACCTGGCTGCAAAACAGTGGTGGGTGGGAAGGGGTGGACGGGGGACACCGGCTCGCAGTCAGCCGAGCAGAAAGCCCCGGCTGTGTGCAGAGACGCTAACCTAGTGCCGACCCGAGCACTGCTGCCTTGTAAATCTTTTTTTCGCTACGCAGACGAGTTCTAATTACAGCATTTCACGTCCCCTGATTTCTAGGAAAACAGCATACGAGACTTGATGATTTTGTCTTTTTTTTTTTTTTTCTTTTCCCTCTGATTTTTATCAAGTTGTTTTTGCTTCCCTTCCCCTCTCCCCTTCCCCTTCTCGCTCTGAAGTCTTGGCGATGCACGAGAACGTGTTGAAATGCCCCACGCCAGGCTGCACAGGACAGGGTCACGTCAACAGCAACCGCAACACGCACAGGAGGTACCAGCTTTGACTTCTCCACAACAGCCAGGGCAAGGATGGCAGCAGGGCAACCATCCCCCAAAACCTCGGCTTTACTCTTGCGCTGAGAGACGAGCGAAGTAGGGAGGACCCTAAGACAAAGAATAATATGAGAAAGCGAGACGGGGCAGTGATTCCTGGCTGGGCAGTAGGGCAGAGCGATGCTTCCACGCTCGCAGGTGGGACTGTGGAGGGGTCGATGCAGGTGGGTGCTTGGCACTAGGGGAGATGAGGGTGCCCGGTGAGGCTGACTGGAGGGAGATGTGGCACTAGCAGGATTTCTAGGGATTTCCACGATATTTAGGCTGAAATTATTGGCGACCTGGGAATTTAGGTCCTCTTGCCGTAGGACCTCAGCCCAGGTGTGGTCAGGAGGGGACAGGGTTGCGCTTTGGGACCTGGAATTATACCCCGTGCCCTGGCTTCGGTTAAACTCAAGCTCTTCCCCACACGGGAGGAATGCGGAGGGAATGGTGCACTTAAAAGCTAGAAACTTTCCAAAAAGCCAGGCTGGCTCGTGCTACAGGGATGCGCTCATGAATTTATGATTTACTATTGGTGGCACTTGAGTTTCACTGGCAGACAGCGACGGCTCTGCGAACGTCGATGCGTTTGCAGGCGCGAGGTGAGTTGGTGTCGTTACTTGTTCAGCTGTGGAGGAAGCTGAGGGATGGATGCTTCGTCGTAGCCGTAGCTGCTAGAGGGAAACCAGGGAAATCCGCTTGGTTAATTGAGAAGCTCAGTTTGGTGCAGGCAGCAAGCGACTGCAGTGAAACAGAGGTGATCCACTGGTGGTAGTGGGTTATGGAGCGAGCTTGGGGTACAGCGGTTTGGGCTGAGACCCGTCGGGGTCAGAGCCCCGAATTTCACGGGGGGCTGGGCTGGGGTTCCCTTGGTGCTGGCTGCTCCAGTGACGAAGGTGCCCGTGGTGGCTTGGGGTCGGCTGGGAGCATGCAGGCTCTGCTTGTGAGGGGTTTTTCCTTTCCCTGAGCAATTACCCTAAGAGCCACGCCGTCCCGGAGAGGCAGAGCCAGCTCTCGCGCAGGGCACGCGTGAGCAAAAGCCGCTACAGCCCGCGAGCTCCCGCAGGCACCGGCGTGCAAATGTCGCCCTGCACGTGCCCCTCAGAAGGCTCCCGTCAAACAGCCCCTGCGAAAGATCCAAACAAACGCAAATCAAAAACGCCATTTAACTGCTAAAACCACTCAAGGAAACCAGCCCGTCCCCTTCTGCCCCTGCTGTGCTCGTCCCGGGGGAGCTGCCTCCTTCATCCACCTCTGGGCCCTGGGGATGCTCCAGGGCTCATCCTGGAGAGATTTGGCACTTGATGTTTGGCTGCTTTGCTGCTCGCCAACACTAAAAGTATGCTAGGATAATGATAATAAAACCCCCCAAAACTTTAAACGCCAACAATTTTCTCATGGGCTCAGGGCAGCTCTGGGTCCCTGAAATGAAGATTTTCATGCTTGGTTTCCTTCTTTCTTTTTTTTTCTCCTTCTTTTAAAAAACCAAAACCTCCCACAGTTTATCTGGGTGCCCCATTGCTGCTGCTGAAAAATTAGCCAAATCGCATGAAAAGCAACAAACCCAGTCTGGTGATCCTTCGAAGACCAGCTCCAATTCTGACCGGATACTCAGGTAAATGGGACCGCGAAGCCCAGCGCCGTGTAACCGCGCTGCCCCGGCCCTCCCCGCGACGCCGCGCTCACGAGAGCAGCCGTCCGGCTCCCTCCGGCTGCATCTCGCCACTGCTGAGTCCTGTTATTACGATCATAGGTCTCAGCAAGGTGGGGAGGTATTTAATTGACGATCCCAGGGAGGGCATTGAGGACAATGAATTGCTTCTGTAGCATCAATTAACGCCGAGGCTACAGGCCAAAGGGTTTCACCAGTGCAGCAGAAGGCGTTTGTGCCGATCGTTCTGCAACGCAAACTGCCAGAGAACGACGGCTATTATATTAGCATTATAAGTAGGGTGGGCTCAGGGAGGGGGAGGAGGAGATTTAGGCTACATATAAATCACATACATATAAGTCCACCCACTTTTCTTCCTTAGCCCACGCGGTTCAGAGGAGAGAAACCTGCCACTCATTTCCGAACCACTTGTATTTATTTAATATAAATATAATTGAGTTATTCCTCCCGTCTCTTATCTTCCCGGGAGAAAGGGCTGTCTCACGTTAAGGATGTCCCCGATAGGCGCTGGCTTCCGCAGCTGATGCGATGCGTGAGGCTGCAGATGGATG